GGAGGCTGAGCCCGCCCCTGGGCAGAGTTTGCGCGTCTACTCGGACCTGCACGCCTTTTACTACTCGTGGTACGGGAGCCCGCGGCGCGAGGGCCACTACATTCACTGGGACCATGTCATGGTGCCTCACTGGGACCCCAAGATCTCGGCCAGCTACCCCCGTGGCCGCCACATCCCGCCCGACGACTTGGGCTCCAGCTTTTACCCGGAGCTGGGGCCCTACAGCTCCCGGGACCCCGACGTGCTGCGGGAGCACATGACCCAGCTTAGGGAAGCCGCCATCGGTGAGTTCCCCGTCCCAGATGGCCCTGTCTCCCAGCCTCGACCGTCTTTGTTCTCACAACCCCAACTCCCGCTGGGCCTTTGGCCCCACTCACCTTGCAGCCTGGTTTCTTGCCCCTTCCCTTCCACTCTCATCCTGAGCCCACCACTCGACACCGTCCCCACTTTCTTGCAGTCAGACCCTCCCCACCTCGGTCCTTCTGACCCTCCACAACTCGAGGACGCTTCCACAAGGCAGAGGTGCTGGGAGGATCAGTGGAAGGAGTTTGCGCCAGAGCTGTCCCAGACAGGTAGGAGAGGGAGGCAGTCTTCGTGTCTGTTAGGCTTGTAGGTTTGGAAGGGGAAGTCAGGCCTGGGTGTCCTGGCCTCTCAGGAGCGTGGGGTGCAGAGGACTAGCACCTGGGATGGTCTCTGCCTTCACACCAGGTAAGGGTAGAGCAGCAGCCCTTCCTATTTTTTCGGGCTGCAGAAAGGAAAGTTTGCCCACATTGCATGATGGACCCTGCTCTGTTTGCAGTGTAGGGGCCCAGGAGCTTTTCAAGTACCGGGCTGGAAAAGAGGTCCCTGGGAGCCCCCTTTGCAGGTTTTTTTTTCTTTTTTTTTTGCGGGGTTGGGGGGTGTGATGCTTGTTTAAAATTTTGCCACAGAATTCTACTGGATTTTGCAGTACATTTCTGTTTATCTGGAGATAGTTTGTGAGGAAAACCAAACCAACCAACCACTGAATGCCAGAGGCAGGGGTGCAAACTATACATAGACAAGACCTGGGGCATCCCTCAGGCTTTTACACTCTAGAGAGGAGTCGAGCCAAATGTTACTTCCCAGGAGAAGCATTAAGATGACCTCTACTCAGGGCCCTTCTCCCTGTGGAACCTCAGTGGTGTCCCTCTTCTCTAGAGGTAGGGCTGTGGCTTCCAGGTGGGTGTGCCATTGTCTACCCGTTTCCCTTTTTTCTACTTATGCACTCGAGAGCCCAGCTCCTTCCCGGCCTGGTACGGTACAGTTCTCGCAGCAGCTGCGCTTCAGCACTGCCGGCGTGGACAGCGCCGGGCGCGTTGCTCTGGAATCTTATCTGCAGGAAGTGAATCCGGCAGGAGCCTTGCTCTCGGTTTTTAGCAACCTTCGTTTTGCAGTTGCAGATGGTTTCTGAGAGAGGAAGGAATAATCTCTGTTGAGGGGGGCCTCTGTGTTTCTGAAGTAGCCTCTGTGTTTCTGAGGTAGCCTCTGTGTTGTGTTTCAGGTGTCCTGGTCCTGTCTTGGTACCCACCTGGCATGGCTGATGATAACGGTGAACCCTCCGATGACCTGGTGCCTGCCATTCTGGACACCGCCCATCAGTACAACATCCAGGTGAGTCTCCAAGAGGTCACGTGCTTTCTAGCCTATTCTCATGATGGCCCCTCCTCTGCCCACAGGGTTAGCACCTCTACAGAAGTTCCTGGCAGTAGCCCAGGAATGACAAGTACTTACCTAGCAAGTGTGGTGTTGAGGGAGGGTCCTAACAAATAGTGCCTATGTCACTCTTTATTTTCTTGAATAATGAGAAAAAGTAATAAAACCAAATATAGGACAAACTGGAGAACAAATATAATTTTATTAATGATAGAGGGTAGGTTGGAGATTAGTGCAAGAGTCAAATGGGCCTGAAAAATGAACTCCAAACTTAATGTTTAATTTAGACTCACCTTCCTGGTGGGAGGCAGTGCTGGGCCTCAAGTATGGCACAATGTGCTCTTGGCAGGCGGATTAACTTTCAACAGGAAAGACACAGCTGAGCTAAGTGTGTCCCGTTATTTTCCCCAAATGTACCAATCAAATAAGTCATTCCCATCTTCTATAGTAAAGGAAGAAAAATAAGAGAAACCCTACTCCCTGTTACTGAGACTGTCACTGACATGTTTAACACATAGTAGCACATTTTCCCATTGACACAGTTTCAGCTTCCTCTTTCCATTGTTTCGGGCAGCTAGTGCTAATCACTTGGAGCTGACACATAGAATGAAACCCATTAGCCATCTTGCAACAGCCCATCAGGATAATCTCCAGATGCCCTTCTGTGGGAGGTGGGCAAAGTCTCAACCCAAAGGCTAGGGCTTGGTGGTCCCTTTTTTGGCCTGGGCAGTTGCTGCCTTTCTTTTGTGGCCACCATTGCCAGGCCCCTGCCTGAACTCAGGCTCTCATCCAAGCTATGGTTACAGCCTGGGTCTTATAGGTTGGTGTCTACAGTCAGTCAGGAACGTGGCCCCTGGACAGATGGCCCCTGACCAGTAACTCCTCTGTTTGTGGCAGGTTGCCTTCCACATCCAGCCCTACAAGGGCCGGGATGACATCACTCTTCATGACAACATCAAGTACATCATTGACACGTAAGGTGGCTCTGGGGTCTGGGATTTTGGTAGGGATCAAAATGGAGTTGGGGTCAGGCTTGAAGGGGCAGGCCAAGAGACAAAGGGCAGAATACCTGCGTTCTCAGCAGCTGTTTTATAGTGAGTGTGCTGGGCTTGGAGTCAGGCAACCTGGGTTTGAATTCCAGTTCTGCAGCTTCCAATCTATGATCAGAGGCAAGCTTCTTAACCTCGGTCCTGAGAGTTACGAGTTAAGCTATGTGAAAGTGGCCTGCACAGTACCTGGCACATATCATTCATTCACTCCAAAAATATTGAGTGCCTTCCAGGTACTGCCCTAAGCCCCAGTTACACAGGAATGGATAGGACTAACAAGGTTTCTGATTTCATAGAGTTTACATAGGGTAAACATTCTCAATGAGATGGACTGACACAATGGGCTCAAGTATAACAATGATTGTGGGGATGGTGCAGGACCGGGCAGTGTTTCATTCTGTTGTACATAGGGTCACTGAGTCGGAACTGACTTGACAGCACCTAACAACAACATTCTAGTGTGTGTTGGGAGTACAGTGGAGCAGTCAGTAATTAAAATTCTATACTATGAAAAAAGGAGCCTGGGTGGCACAACGGTTAAGCATTCGGCTGTTAACCAATTTTGTCAGTTTGAACTTACCCAGCAGCTCTGCGGGAGGAAGATCTGGTCATCTGCTTCTGTGAAGATTATAGCCAAGAAAACTCTATGGGGCAGTTCTACTCTGTCACATGGGGTCACTAAGAGTTGGAATCAACTTGACAGCACCCAACATGAAAAAATAAAGCAGGCTGTTAAGTGTATGTCCAAGTAGCTACTTTAGAATGGGTGGTCAGGTGAGCCTTGCTTAGATGACAGTTGAGCTAATACCTGAATGAAGAGTCAGCTCTGCAAAGATCTGGGGCCAAGCAGAATATTTCAGGCAGAGGTGAAAAGGGGTTGGTGTGAAAATGGAATGGAAAGGCCAGTGTAGCTGGAGTGCAGAGATGGGTGGAAGAACAACAGCAGTGGATATAGGCAGGGCCAGATCAAGTAGGTGGGGCCTTGAAGGTGATGGTAAGGGGCAGATCTGGTTTACACTTGTCAAGGAATGGATTACAGGGAGGCAGGAGAGGATGCTGGAGACCAGTTAGGCAGCTACTGTGCTGTCCAGATGAAGATGGTGGTGGCTTGACCTAGGGTAGGGAAATGAGACTTGAATAAATGAATGACAGAGCCGGGAGGGAGGGGAACCAGGTTCTCACTTAGAGGTATGAAAAGTCCAACTCTGGAGACTGGCTGGACCCTGATTTGTGCTGTGGACATCAGGAAAGAGCTCACCCATGGCTGGCCCTATAGCTGTGCTGGCTCTGCTGATCCTAGGCTGCCAACTCAGGCTCTTCTTCCTCCTGCTCCTCAGGTATGGCTCCCATGGTGCATTTTACCGCTATAAGAACAGCATGGGTAAAAGCCTTCCACTCTTTTATATCTACGACTCATACCTGACATCCTCTGAGGCATGGGCCCATCTCCTGACACCAAGTGGGCCCCACTCAATTCGCAATACCCCCTATGATGGGGTCTTCATAGCGCTGCTGGTGGAGGAGGGGCACACCCATGACATCCTGGCTGCCGGCTTTGATGGCATGTACACCTACTTTGCCTCCAATGGTTTCTCCTTCGGCTCCTCCCATCAGAACTGGAAAGCTGTGAAGAACTTTTGTGATGCCAACAACCTTATGTTCATTCCCAGCGTGGGGCCTGGCTACATTGATACCAGCATCCGGCCCTGGAACAACCACAACACGCGGAACAGGGTCAATGGCAAGTACTATGAGACAGCCCTACAGGCGGCCCTGACAGTGAGGCCGGAGATCGTCTCCATCACCTCTTTCAATGAGTGGCACGAGGGCACCCAGATTGAGAAGGCTATTCCCAAGAAGACACCAACGCGCCTCTATTTGGACTACCTGCCTCACCAGCCCAGCCTGTATCTGGAGCTGACCCGCCGCTGGGCAGAGCACTTCATCAAAGAGAAGGAGCAGTGGCTGATGTGAAGGGCCTGCCAACAGGGGCATGAGGTCCCAGCCTCACTGGAAGATGTCATAATGTGGGGCTCAGCTGACAGGGTGTGGGCACTCATCTCCAAGTCAGCAGCTGGGTCCTTCTGGGTGGGCCACTGAGCCTGAGCCCATGTAGAACAGAGCCTGTTCCTGAGGCAAGTGGTGCTGGGGTTGTCTACAGTGACAGGAAACGCAGCGGTGGTCCACAGAGGCAACGGTAGTCTGACAGGTGACTGGACTCAGCCCAGAGCCCAGCTCCAGTTGTTAGTGCACTTCAAAATAATCCCTTCTAGCTTTGTACTCTGCAGAGGCTGGTGTTGTACAGTGGAGCCACCCACAGTCACTGCTCCTGGAAGGGTGTTAGGGTTCTGGGCTAGCATGCACCCTGCTCCCTTCTGCTAGTCTGTGTCCTCTGTTCAGACCTCCTTCCCACATCCAGTCTAAGTTACAGAACCATATTTGAGATTTTCTAAAGAGAAATTCTAGGTTTAGGCTCTCCCAATAGATTCCTGAACCCCATTATCAGAAAATGATAATCCAAAGCATTCACACATTCCACACACAGTAACTGAACTCCTTGCTATGTGCTAGGTGTTGGGGGAAAACTTGACCAAGGAGCAGTTCCTGTTCTAAAGCTTTCCCTAATTGGTGTGGCCTTGTAGTTAGTGCCTGGGCACAGCTAGAAGTTTCTTCTTCAGTTTTACCCAGTGCTCTAAGAAAATACCTCTGTGCTCTGGAGCCTACATTTTCCCAGATGAACAGTTAGCTCCACGGAGACTAGGATATCCGCCTTCCTTTAGCTGCCTAAACTGAACAAGGCCTACTCACTAGTCATTTTCAGTGCTATTATGAGTTGTATTAAAACGAAGTGGGGTTCTCAAGTAAGCACTCCTTCTGCACTCTCCAAGACCTCACTAATTCTGACCCCTCAGTCAGATTTCACAACAAACTGAGGTGTGAGCTGGGGGGGTAACACTGTTAGCACAGTGAAGAATGGGGTTGCTTAAGAAACTACTAGTTTAAACAAGACTTCTAGAGGGAATACTTAACGACCAGTATTTATACACAAATAAACTAATATGCTAATGGGGGGGACCCTTGTTATAGCAGACCCCAGCAACACCATGGCAAGATTCTTAAGATCTACTTGAAAATAAGTGCACTGTAAACCACTGTACTAAGAACTTTATGTACTCAAAACTGAATCCCAATTCCGGTAACTGAGACACAAGTGGATAAGGAGGAAGTGGACCCTAGTGGTCACCACAAAAAGACACGTAGCTCCAGCCGGGTCCCTAACGCTAAACCCCACTGGATGGAGGGGCCGACCTGGCCACACTTGCAGATTAGTTGAAACTAAGACCGGCAGGGACAGGTGAAAAGGGCTGGATGCTGACCTGCAGTATTTAACAAAGGTAATCACACCGAGGCATCATTTCACATGTACACAATTTGAAAAACAGTAAAATTACGGTAAGGGTAGGGGAAGCAGCAATTCTCACACACCGCTGATGGCAATGTAACTTGATTCAGTTCTTTTAAAGGCTAATATGTATCAACAGCCATAAAAACATTCATATATTTTGACCCAATAATCCTACCCTAAGAGGATAACACAAAAGAAAAATAAACCATTTACAATGTTTAACAGCAGTATTGTTTTATATTAACAAAAAAAACGAAGTTCAAATGCCCAACAATAATTATGCTTCATACTTGGTATACATATACAGATAAAAGGCTGTGGAGTAAATATTGCATTTAAATAAAGATGAATAAATAAATAAAAAAAAAAATTACTGGCTGAAAAACACGGCAGAAACTTGTTTTCCAACATTCTTGAATTTGGATCCCCCCCCCCTTCCCCTGCCAGCTGAGCAGACTTCCCACATTAGACCAAAAGAGTGACTCTCCCTGGCAGGCAATTACATTGCACCACCAGCCCCCTGGTTCAGAGGAAACAGTGTATGGCCTGCGCTCTACATCTTTATCTTAACCTGGTTCCAGCTTCAGGAGGTCAAATCCATGTCTTTGGTCACTTGAGACTTATAAACAGCACCGGCACATCTAGCTGCTTTGGACCTTAAAAGCCACCAATCACCAAGGAGGCGGCTCTCACTAGATTTCAAATCTTATTAAATCACTTAAAAAAAAAAAAAAAAACAAAACAAAGCCGCTCTACAAACATTCTTAATCTATTTTTCAGTTTTTGACTGAAACATAAAATTAATGATAATAAATATAACCTTCTCCCCAGGAATAAAGTTGGAGCCCTGGTGGCGTAGTGATTTAAGAGCTTGGCTGCTAACCAAAAGGTCGGCAGCTCAAATCCATCAGCTGCTCCTTGGAAACCCTATGGGGCAGTTCTACTCTGTCCTATAGGGTTGCTATGAGTTGGAATCAACTCGACAGCAACAACGGTTTTTTTTTTTTCTCCCCAGGTATGAAGCTAAACCAATAGCTTCTGAGGCTGGGTCTACAGTGTTCAGAAAGACATTCTGCTCAAAGGGGTCAGGCTAGTGACGCAGCCCCAGCAGCCTCTGCAGATGAGGCCTTGCCAACTGCCAGTGGACAGACACACAGTGTCCACACAAGTCCTTCGTCCCCCTCCCCCACCCCAGTTCATGAGCAGGTACCATCTGAGGGCAGCAGCCCATACTTCTGTTGGAGGATGGCCGTAGTACTTTCCAGGGCACTGAGGAGGAAACAGAGGAGAGTTACAGACTGACTTCTCAAAGCTGTGAGCCCACCAGGGTGCGGTGATCAGCAACCTTTAAACTCACTGGTTTTACTCGGCTCTGTTCATCAAACCCTCAGGAAGCTTTCTGAATCCCAAAAAAGCCAGAACCCAGCAAACTTAGTCCCACTGCACCCACCGCTTCTCCAAACCTGCCCCCCAGCTCAGGGATAGACAGCAGTGACAACCTTCATTCTCTTAAGGCTTGTTTTCTATTCCCATGCCACAGGAGAGAGACTCACCAGCCTGGACGAATGATGCCAAACCTTCCAGGCACAGATAAGTCGACCACAGTTGAGCCGAGGCGATACTCAGGGCTTTGGCCATCCCCAATAGGCCCCCCATCAATGACCAGGGACAGCTGAGGCCATAGGTCCTGGAACTCCTGAGAAGAAAAGGAGGAGCATGGACATGACCCCTAGCATCTACAATGATGTCATACTACATGCAGGGTTCATAAAATAAAAGCTGCAAAATTTAAAAACAGTAGGCATCTTCCTTTAAGCTGAGGATGGGAACACATTTAGTTAGGGCTAAGAACACTGCATTAGCACCCAAGGCACTGCCTCCTATGAGATTTGGAGCCCCCTGGGTGACAGCCCCAAATAACACCTGTCTAGAGCCTAAACGAGGAGCCCTGGTGGTGTAATGGGTAAGTGCTTGGCTGCTAACCGTGCGAACCCAGCCAGTGGCTCCCTGGGAGAAAGACATGGCGATCTGCTGCTGTAAAGATTACAGCCTAGAAAATCCTATGGGACGGCTCTACTCTGTCACATGGGGTCGATATAAGCCAAAAATCGACTTGACGGGACCTAACAACAGAGCCTAAAGAAAATCTTACTGTGCCAGGGAGAAATTCCACGTACTGCTTCAGCTGGGGAGGTGTAGGGCACGGAAAACCTCATCTTCTTACTGTGTTCTACCTTTAAATTTAGTAAGAAGAAAAATAAAAACTTCTGTGTGTGCTCATTTATTCTAAACAATGCATCCAAGACTAGAATAGAATGATACTTTCTTCAACCTGGCTTGTGGTAGAGATGAGAGAACAAGGACAGCAGTCACAAATTGAGTACAAATCAGAGTCTGCCTCTTAGTGGCTGTATAACCTGGGACAAATGATTTAAGTTCTCAGATCTTTAACTTTCTCACACTCTTCACAACACTGTTACAATAGTTAATAGTCTAGCTGCAGTGTGATGGACTGCTTTTATGTGGCCTTTCTTGCCACGGTGTTGTAACTCCCACCCAAGTGATTGGGTGGGGCTGTGCAGATTGGGAAATCGTGGCCCACCTAGGGGACTGGTCAGTTTTGCCATCCCGCTGGTGTGAAATGAGCCATTCCAGAGGCAGGGAAGAGAGGATCTTACCACCACTAAGGAAGGAGAACCAAGAGCAGAGTGTGTCCTCTGGCCTTGGAATCCCTGTGCTGAGAAGCTTCTGGAACCAAGAGACCAAGAGAGAGAGAGCCTTAACACTGAAGACGGTGGGAAGTGATGGCAGAGAAACGGTGGCAGGAGACCAGCAGCAGGAGACGGTATGGTGGGCTTCCCAGCCCACAGAGCAAGAAAGCTGAGTGTCTTTGGGCTCAGGCTTACTGGTGGAGTGGAGTGCCTCTGGGCACTTACTGGCAGAGCTAAAAGAGCTCTGTAATACTTGCTGAATTATCGAACCCAGAACAGAGTAGAGAGTGCTGTGGGAGGGACAGTTGGTGTCAGAATTGGTAAAGACAGCGGAAGGAGGAGGCATGTCTGAGCTCTGCCTCATAGGAATCAGCCTGAGGCTGCTGATATCGATTCTCCTTCCCCGCTGTGAAGTTAGAGGAGATCAGACGCCACCCTCACAGTGTTTTCACACTAACTCTGTATTCAACAACTGTTACCCCCACAAAAGGTGGAAAACAACGATTTTACTTATCATAATCTTTCCTATTATTATGAAGATTAAAAAACAGAAACCAGTTGCTATCAAATCAATTCCAACTCATGGCAAGCCCACGTAGAGTAGAACTGTGTTCCATAGAGTTTTCAGTGGCAGACTTTTCAGAAGTAGGTCACCAAGCCTTTCTATCAAGGAGCCTCTGGGTGAACTCAAATTTCCGCCCTTTTGGTTAGCAGCAACCATTTGCACCACCCAGGAACATCATAAAGACGGAGAAAGAAAACACAAACTCTCCCCTTGGTTTCTCAAACTTTATAAAAAAACCTTTCCAAGATTCTTTAATTCTGATTCCCCCAACCCCTACCCACTGCCAGCTGGGCAGACTTCTCACCATTAGACCAAAAGGGCAACTCTCCCTGCTAAGCAGTTAGTCCACTGGTTCAGAGGAAAGTGTTTGGCCTGATGATATTTCTGGAAGACTGGGTAACTCTCACCTTGACATTCAGAGAACTGGTCTGAGAGCTGACGTTGGCACTGGTGAGTGCAAGAGGTCCCCCAAACACCTGGGCCAAGTCCTGCATGAAGGCATGGTCAGGAATCCGGATGCCTACAAGCTATGAGACAAGAGAAAAAATGACCATCAGAAAGGTTGGAAGGGGTGGGGAATGGGTCTGGCCTGGATCCTAATGGCCAGGAGTCTGGGGACACACACAACAATAAAAAATCTGACTCACAGGAGTGAAGGGGTTCAGATCCCTGTTCAGCTCTTCCGAGCGTTCCATCACCAGGGTCACTGGTCCTGGCAAAAGGTCTTTCAGGAGCTCCTCAGGGACTCTCACATGGCAGTACCTGCGAAACAAACAAGCGTAACTCCATCGATAAATGAAAGGCCACCACTGGTCTTCAGGCAGACAAAGAAAGGGATCCTTGCGGCCTGCAATGGGATCTGTCTGTCTCCCAGATTCACCTTCCTGAGAACCTGATCAGAATCTAGAACTTCCATCTCAGGGGCTACAACAGGAGCTCATCACGCTCCGTGTCTTATTTTCTTCAGGGCACTCCCTGTTAAGTTACCGTGTTTGTTTCCTTTTTTACCATGCGACTCTCCTTCTTAACAGAAAAGCATCAAGAGAACAGGGATTCTGCCTGTTTCATTCATCGCTCTGTCCCAGCATCTAGTTCAGGGCCTGGCATACGCTAAACGCTCAATACATATTTCCAGTTCCGGATTCCTGGGTGAGTTTGGACAGGCCCCTCCCGCTCTCAGCGCCTCAGTCTCCCAAGCCTGTCACCGGAAGCCCCTCCCGCGGTGCCGCCCCCAGCGGGGCCGGGTCGGGGCGGCCTCACCTGTAGACGTCGGCCACGCGACCCAGGCATACGGCCAACGGCTTGGCCTCGCTGCGGCCCTTGAGGCGGTACACATCTCCCAGTGCCGCTGAGCAACTCGCCGAGCAAGCGAGGCCGTACAGCGTGTCGGTGGGCACGGCCACTACGGCGCCGGCGCGCAGCTCGGCCACGGCGGCCCGCAGCGTCTCGGTCCAGCCGGCGCACTCGGAGCTCGCGGCTCGCACGGCCCCGCTCCCTGGGAGCCGCAACAGCCGGGCCCCCGGCGCCACCGGAGAGGTGCTCGGCGGGCGAAGGAGGCGGCCGCTCCGGGCGGAGCCCGCCGAGCCCTCACTCAAACCCACACTGGCAGCCACCGCGGCCCTCAGCCCCCTGCACGGAGACATCCGCCGAGGCCTACTTCCGGGAGGAAGTGACGCAACCATCCAACTTCCGGTCCGGGAGGCTCGGCCCCGCCTCCGCGCCGGGCACCTTAAAGGGACCGCGACCCCCAGGAGGATTGAAGGAGACCGGTGGGGACGGGGCGGGGCGCAGCTTTGCGGAGCCCTAGAGCAGCTCTGGGGAGGGGGACGACCGAAACGGGGGCGGTGGTCGGGCCGCACAGGCGGAGATGGAATGGGGCCCAGGCTCAGACTGGTCACGGGGGTGAGAGAGGGTCCGTCAGGGCGGGGGGAAGGGGCTTGGACCCCGCGCAAGCGCGGGCCCTGACTGTCTCTACCTCTCTCCCGGGCAGGGAGTCTGCCGGCGTGGACCGCGGGAAGGCGGGGCTGGGGATCGGCGGGAGGCCACCCCCGCAACCGGCCCGGGATGAGCGCGCCCAGCAGCTGCTGGACGCGGTGGAGCAGCGGCAGCGGCAGCTCCTGGACACCATCGCCGCCTGCGAGGAGATGCTGCGGCAGCTGGGCCGCCGGCGCCCGGAGCCGGCTGGTGGCGGGGTCAGTGCCCACCCCGGGCTGGGCCTAGGGGGTGGGGTCTGCCGACTGGCTGGATTTGCTAAGCCCTAGCTCTCCCTGGAGGGTGCAACAGTGTCTCCACCGCCCTGCCTCTAACCTTTTATTTGGGCGAGAGGCTTTGAAAAAGTTGTTACCCAAATGCAAAGTGGCCGTACCCTTGCAGGGCCTAATCCAAGGCCTTTCCTCCCAGCCTCACTTTCTTCCTTTCTGTTCCAACCAGAACGTCTCAGCCAAACCCGGAGCGCCCTCCCAGCCAGCTGTCTCTGCCAGAGGTGGCTTTCCAAAGGATGCTGGTGATGGAGCTACGGAGCCTTGACCGTCCCCGAGCCGGGCATCCTGATCTCTCTCCCTCCCTGGGGCTGGTAGCTGGACTCTGAACAACTCCCTTCAATAAAGGGTCGTCTTCACTGGCAGTGGCTGTCACTTGGCTTTCAGCCTGGGGTGGCAGCTCTGCTAACAGCTGGGTTCACTCCCACTTCATCCTGGCTGAAGGCGGTGCTGTGCTTTGAAATGTAGCCAACGAATACCCAGTCTGATTACCGGAATGTGGGCAGACCAGCAGTGCTCGCCAGCATGATCTGGTCTGCTTTGGGGGAATTAGGTGGTGTTAATGTCCATTTCATGCTTTGGGGGCTCCTAGCCCCATAAAAAAATCTTCAGCAGAGCCTTGATTAAAAGGAAACCTGCAGACTCTCTTGGTGACCGACCTTTTCCTTTCTGACTCCTCTCCAAGACTCGATGGCTGGGGAGGGGTAAGTGGTTGAAAAACTGTCAGCAGTGGGCAGGGCTGGGAAGAAATGCCACAGATACTACCAGATTTAAATAAGCATTTAATTAGGATTTCATTAGTATTTAATATTGCTTTTTCAATTCCAAAAAGTTAAATTTTCACTTCTTAGCAGATATTTTAAAGTACAATATTAAGTTTATACAAAATGAGCAATTAAGCAAACACCATTATTTCACATTCTTCAAAAATACAAATTCATGTTTACTCTTTTTTGGGTTTGGAGGTTTCTTCCTTTGGAAGTACTGAACCTGTAACGTTTTCATATCGCTCAGTGGAAGTCCGTTGTTCCCATGTTTCACACTTAAATAAATTTGATAGACTATTACATAATTCAAATAAAACTATTTGGGATTTAAAAAACTGTCACCTAGATCATTGGCCAGTGACTAGTGTGTGTCAAAAAAGAAGGCTCTCGGGGGCTCTTGCCTTTCCTGGCTAGAAGATCTGAGCCAGAGATTCAGCAAAGATCTATGTCCAGCCACCTTCCCCAAACAAGGACGAGGAAGAGTTCACAGAGAAAGGGAACAGCCACCCTGGACCCCCGACCCCCACTCCCCCCACATCTCCAAAACACAACAAAGGATGTAGACTATCGGGTCAAACAGAACCTTTGGGAGGCCTGAGAACACAGGTGAAGGGGCAAGAGAAGCCTCTGGCTTGGCACCACTACAAGGATACTGCAAAAAACACCCCTAGGTTTGGTGAAAAAAGATTTTATGAAAAATTTTCCCGTAAGAAAAAGAGTAGAAACTGCACTGAGCTGAGAAAGTGACTACATTATTACCCAATTTTTGGCCCAGCAGGCACACCACCAAAAGGGCAGTGTGTTGTTTTAAACCTCGCTTCCAGTAAAAAAGCTTGTACTATGTACACAATGACATAAAGATCCAGTTTAATTTGCATTTTTTAGTGCAGACTGAGAAGCCCTCTCTTGAACAGGAGAAACAGAAATGCCCAGACTGATCATCAGCTTCCCCAAAGGGCATGAGAAGAAAAACAGGACTCTTTCCTTCTCCCCCGGCAAAAATATGCAAGACGAAACAGGCTATACTGACTGACCAATCAGAAATATGCATGATTCAGTTTTGCTGTCTCCCCACTCCAATCATTACGGAAAGGGTGATTTCTTAACAATGTTACAACAGAATTATTTGCATAATATTGGATCTATGGGAATCTTTCTACTTTGGCTGAAGTGTATTTTAAAACTTCTCTATATTAGCCTTAGAATGGAAGATAAAATGGGGGGAGGTGGGAGAGGGGGTGGGGAAGAAAGTTGATAAACCAGATTATTGACAGCTTTGTTTACTGGATTTAATGAAGGTTGGAGGCCTTTTTGCTTAAAGAGCCAACAAGCAGTATATGGAGCAGTATGGAAATGGCTCATGTTGCCCCCCTCACACTATCTCCCCAAACATATTTCTGATTGGTGGTATAGAAAAATTGTAAACTCTTCAGCAATATTGTTGCAGTTGCACAAATCAATGGTTTCAGAGACTGGAGAAGTCTGTAAGAATAAGGACAATGGATGTGATTACAAACAGAGTCTAAAAGGTGTCAGGTTTCTGCCTTGGAACAACCTGTTCCTTCCTTTCAGGTGTCACCTGGTTATGGTGAAGAGGGGAAAGACGGCAAGGGACCAAGAAGAAGTGTTGAAAAGGGCCTCAACAGTCAGCAGAAGAAAACAGGACCCGCAGCAGTTCTTCAGAGAGCCTGAGGGGGCGTCCTCGGGCCACAGGCGGAAGGCTTGCATAGATTGAACAGTTGCAGAGAATGCATAATAGTGTTTCCCTATAGACAGCTTCATGGTACAGGGCTGATCAAACGTTAAAATGGTGGCCAGGCCAGGGCCACATGGGACAACGACCATCAAGCTACACATATTGCACCAAGGGTAAGTGCTTTTCTTTTCACACCTCAATTTAACTTTTTATTCTGAGCAAAAAATAAAACTTTGTGGAAAGTATATATATATACATATATATATATATATATATATATGTATATATACACAAAAGAAATTGCAGCAATTGGGTTAAAGATAAAATAACCTAAAGTGCTTTTTTATTTTATTATTTCTTTAATATACCAACATGAGTTTCTGCAAACTCATCCCTCTGGACACATTCAGCATTATACAAATTCTCTCAGGAAAACCCACCCCCCTCCATTATCCCCATCAGTCCACTGCCTTGACCCTGAAAACAAAACTCTCTAATCTACTGACTCTCCCAGGGGTGGTGAAGAGAAGTCCCTTGCCTTATACCCAGAGAGGTCTTCACACCTTAAGGCCCTTCCTGGGGTTTGTACCATAATCTCCTTCTGAAGTGGGGTGGAATTCAATAAATGACCTCAACTCCTGTCACCAAACTAGTGATGCCTCATGAGACTGGCTGTGAGGAAGCCAGGCCCTGCCAGGAAAGGTCAGGCCACTTTCCCTCAACACTTCACCCACTACCTGGGAAGTGCCATTCACTAAGGCAGCTTGGCGGTGCCAGCCAAAGTTTCCTTACCACTTCCTAAGCCCATGAACTCCAACCCCTCGTGCTGACTAGCACCCTTTAGAGAGGCAGTTTAACTGGAGATGCTAGTGGAGGCTGTAAACAGAAATCTATAGGGTGAAAGTGGTTAAGGTTACCATGGAAAGAAACGAAGGCTTGATTTCACCTGCTAGAAGTCTGCGGACCCTCACCGCACTCTAGATTCATTTCCGGATTTGGGAAACCACATTCTCCAGGAAGGCTCTTCCTGGCTCCAGCTTAGCCAGGGGCCTTCTCTTCTCCAAGGTCCTTGGCACTAGAGGCCAGGCTTGTGGAAGGCGGGAAAAAAGGGAAAGACTGCTCACAACCACTCACGATCAGGTTACGCACATTCCTGATTTTTCAAAAGCTGACTGGACCTGATAGTGCCCCTTCTAGAGTCACCCTCAAAAGGCAGATACTTCAACTTCTTCAACTAGAAAAACACTGTTTCGAGATGCTTCTTTATCACTCCCAATCTTTGGAGAGTGAAAAAGCTACTGACCTGGTTGGGGGCCAACATAAGCACAGCCCTGGCCAACCAGGAAGAAACAATATTTAAACTATGGGCAGCTTCAAATGGCCTTCTCTGGGCTCCTACTGCCCACCTCAGCTCCCAGGGAACCAGAAACCCAGGTGACCACAGGGCTGTTATGTGAGGAGGTCACTACTAACCTCCAATACAAGCTGACTTGCGGCTCTCACCACACTGCTCCTTCTCAGCAGTTGTAGAAAAAACAGCAAGGACCCTACGTCAACCCATGCTCAGCAGTTGCTTTTATAGGAGAATTAACCCACTATAGTAATAGAAGATTCCTCCTGCCTTCTCAGCTTCTGCTGAGGTCACCAGAACCCACCAGCCTTTTGGGAAGGAGAGTGCAGAAGATCAAAAAGAAATCAATTCTCCTGACTAGACTGCTGGAATGAGAAATCAGGTGCTTGTAGTTAAGCCCATTTCTCCTCGTGGCAGTAACAACATTTACCACCACGGCCCTCTTGTCCAAGTCCATCCTTGACTATCCTGGCTAAAGGCAGGGCCTCTGGCTCCAAGGTAAATGATCTGCTCTGGATACTGTCTTAGCAGTCCCTGAATAATGGCTCAGAGAATAGGAGAGTGACAATGCAGATCTCTTTACATTACAGAGTGGAAAAGAAAGGCAAAGTGATGATTGCTTTCTGCCTGACATCACTGACTCGGAAGAGCAATCCTGTTTGTTGAATCCTGCCCCCTGCTCAAGGCAGGGAAAGGGCTCTCGGGAGGCAGAGGCCTATTCCAGGGCCATGCCTAGCCTCTGAGCTTGGTGAGCGTAGGGATTCTTTGTTGAAACACTCATGACTATGTTAATATAGCCACTTGAGGGAAGCCTTCCATTTTAATTTTAGTGTGGAGTGTATTTTCTGTTTTATTTTAATAGGCAATGACTTGGAACCAAAGGCAGACAGATGGATATAATTCTATACACAAATCAAAAAAACATTTTTCTTTCCCTATAACACAACTTAATGAAACATTCCAAATGAGATAACTTATTGCAACATTTCAGGCTTTTTGGTGGAAGGGGAATTTTTTGTTTTGTTTTACCCTGAGTAGAAGATCATCGTTTTGTGGAGGTTTTTGTTTTTTTTTTTTTGTTTAGCAATCATATGACTAAATTGAGCAAGTCACATCCTTGTTTGCACTGTACTAGGCTGTATGCAAAATCCAGACAGGTAAGGGGTAAAGATGGGAGGGGGCAACCAAAAACCTAGATAGAACCTGGAACCAGACACCTGGCCTGCCAATTACATGCCACCTTATACAAACTCCCTTAAATCTGCACCTTCTCCTGATCAGCAAAATGCAGACCTTCTGCTCTGAGGAAGCAAACAGAGTTCAAGGGAAGGCAGACCACTGACCAGTCCTGGCCATAAGCCACATGTCCACTCCAGGACAAAACAGGGATGTTCCCCAAAGAAAGTTCATTGCAATCTGCAAGCCCTGGCAACCGAGAGATAGAAAGAACCAGGGAGGCAAAGATTGTGATAATGTTGCTAGAGCCTGCTCTGCACACACGTCATCGGCAGACAGCAGTCCCCAACTTACCCAGGACCGCTGCAGAAGCAAATCATCCCCACAGACCACGGGCCAGGCTTTCAGCTGCCCATTGTGCTGAGGCTGGCTGCAGGCTGAGCCCTGCACTATCCACCCTGAAGTCCACAGACACCAAGCGCAAACAACAAAACCATCTCGCCCAACTCCTGTCCAACTCACAGCTGTCTAACCTGCCTCTGCCACTTCCCTCTCTGATGGAGCGAAGGTCTGGCCTTCTGAGAAAGTGTTAGCCTCAGATTCCAAAGACACACAGGGAGGAGCAACACCCAGCACACTGAATTCTACTGCCCAAACCACAAAGACCCCAGTGCAAGTGATGGGCAAGATCAGATTGATGGAAACCACACCCTTTCATTTAGAATTTTTATGCATACGAGTAACCTTAATTTCCATGTTCACATGACAATAAGCAAAAGTGACATACAGTGCAGCCAAACAGTTCATTTATAACTTAGCTTTTTTTTTGTTGTTTTTTTGTTTTGTTTTGTTTTTTTTCCCAAAGATCAGTTCCTTAAGATGGATCCTCCTGGGATGTGAATAAAGAAAATACGTCTGAAAGGTGAGAATTTCAAACAATAGATTTCTTCATTCTTCCAATTTCTGACCCAAGATGGTAGGCATCACGCCTGTGCCTTCTGCTCACCCTCTTTTCCTGGGGGTGAGCACATATGGGCCCTTCACTTGGAGAAGCTGCTGGTCAGGCCCATCTCCTCCTCCCCCTGCAGTAGTGCTTCAATGGGAATCAGATTGGACGGGGTGTCCAGGCTCTGGAGGGACAGAAACTCTGACATATCCATGGCACTTAATGTTTCCGTTTGAGGGTCTGAAGGAGTCTCTGCTTGTCTGTTTTGCTCATGGGAAGAGGGTAGAGGGGAGGATGACGAGAGTGGGGCAGAGAGTGTGGAAAAAGTCTGTGGTGGTAGCTGCAGGCAGGGCCCATCAGGAGGCTGGGGGCTGGGCTCTGGTAGGGGTGGGGAAGCACAGCCTTTTCTCCTGCTGGAAGCCCGCTCCTTAGCAGAGTCCCGGCATGCACACTGACACTGACACGCCTCCTCTTGTTTGATGATGATCACAGGAACACTGAGGCCAATCTGCTGTACAGAGCTCCCTGCGAAAGAGGCGAGAGAGACTGCTCTTCAAGTGGCGGCAGGGCAGGGGCATGAGGGATGGGGTCAGAGGCTAGGTGAGGGCTGAATGCCACGAAGGCAGGAATGGTGGGAAGGGTGGGTGCCATGTGCCAGGCTTTGTTCTGCTATAAATCGGACCCTGTTTTACTTCTTAGGTAAAAAGTCTCTGATACTCCACATCCCCTCCAAGCTCCCTCTCCTTAGAAAGCCACACACACAAACTAGATGCACCCTGCGTTTCCAGCTTCATTTCCTGTCATTCTCCCCCATACCAGCTACAGCAGATGTCTCCCCTTTCCTGACACATTCCTTATACCTCTGGGCCTGGGGGTTCTTCCTTCTCCATAAACTACCTAGACACTTCTGCTCTCCTGGAGAACTTCCTTTCATCCGTCAAGACCTAGCCCACTCCCCTCCTCTCCTGATGCCTCCACTGGTGCTTCCCTGTCGGCTTGCGCAGAGGGCTTGCCTGAGTGCAGCCAGCATGTGAGCGTCCTGGTCAATGTCCACAGTGCTACTGGTTCCTTCCACACCACTCTCCACACTGCACAGGACGTGTTCATACTGACTGCCCCAGAGACTCTTGACAGCTTACTCATCTTTGTAGCCCCAATGGCTGACACACAGTACCAAAAAAACCAAATGAACAAAAAAACAACAACGACCTAAACCCACGGGTGGATTATCCAATAAGCAAGGTAAGCATGGTGCTTATCTTGCTAACCTAATCATCTGTAGTGAACAATTTCACATTTTTTCACCACATCAAAGATTCTGCTTCTAGGTATGGCTGGCATCTGTTTTTCTCCCAACCCCACGGCACCTTCCTATAGAATCAAAGCCTCTTTTCAAATTTACAATCTCTGACGGGGCGGATGACCCAGATTAGTAAGTATGCACAAGTAAGCCTGTGCTTACCTTGCTTATTGGATAATCTGCCCCTGCCCAAACCCGCTGAATCGATTCCCACGTGTTACAAAGTAGAACTGCTCCATAGGGTTTTGCTGGCTGTAACTTTTACAGAAGCAGATCACCAGGCCTTTCTTCAGTGGCATTGCTGAGTGGGTTTGAACCACCAACCTTTACGTTAGCCAAGTGCAAACTGTTTGTGCCACCCAGGGACCTTAACCAGTTGCTGTTGAGTCGATTCCAACTCATGGCAACCCCACGTATTGCAGAGTAGAACTGTGTTCCATAGGGTTTTCAAGGCCGTGAACTTTTGGAAGCACAGAGCCAGGCCTTTCTTCCAAATATCTCTGGTGGGTTCGAACTGCCAACCTTTCAGTCAGTAGTTGAGCGTTTCACCGTTTGTGCCACTCAGGGACTCTGTGACACATACTAGGTGTCAGTAAATCTCCCTTTTACTTAGCCAGCCTCATGTGTGTGCATTCTCTCTTCTGTGCATGTGTGTTGTGCACACACACTCTCTGAAATCAGCCAGGTTTTGTGTCTCAGCAGAGCTTGAGAGACTAACGGACAGAAGAAGGGAGTGGGAGTTAGGAGGCCTGAGAACTAGAGCTTTGGCTCTGCCACAATTCACTCTGTGACCCTGGGGGAGTCATTTAATCTTTCCAGGCCTCAGTTTCTTAACCTGTAAAATAAAGGGTTTGCATAAAAGGACCTCTCAGTGCTGTTTCAGTCTCTGACCCCGGTGCTATTTCTTCATCATTGTAATTAGAAAAGAGCCCAGTGAATTAACAAGCCCTCTTTAGCATTAATTGTGATTCAAACTGTTTTCTGGCTGCATTTAGAAGCTGTATCTGTAAGGGAAATAACTGCTACCAGTTAAAGAAATGTTAAATGTGGTATTTGTATCATAAGTACTCTAACTTCCAATAGTTGTGGGACTATGAAATACTCTAATAAATAAACAATATAATGTGAAAAATTTAATTGATGCTGCTTAAAGATTTTTAAAGTTTTAAAAACTGGGGAGAAGGAATAATTAACTCATGCCTCAAGGGCCCAGAGAGCTCACTTTCTGTTAAAGCTAATACAGAGTTACATACCTGTGCTACTGGCTACTGGAACTGCAGTGGTGAAAAACACCTTCTCAACTTTAGGTGCTTGCTGCTGAAAAAAAAGAAAAGAAAATTACATTTACGGCCACTCAAATATGGCAGATCTCCAAGGACCTGGTGGCGCAGTGGTTAAGAGCTTGGCTGCTAACCAAAAGTTTGGCAGTTTGAATCCAACAACTGCTCCTCAGAAATCTTATAGGGCAGTTCTACTCTGTCCGTAGGGTCGCTATGAGTTGGAATCGACTTGACAGCAACAGGTTTGGTTTGTTTTTTTCCAAGGACCTGAAGCCTACCCAGTTGTAATGGTCACTCAATAGGACAGAAATCCCTCAGTGCCCAGGAATTTTTGTCCTGAATGATGTTTTGTTTGTGTTCTGACATGAGGTCACTGCACTGTTTGACATTCAGTGCTGACAATGCAGCCAGCTCTGTACCCTACTACTTGGCTGCCTCCTCAGCTGCCTGTTCCAGTAGGTTCTCTGTGCCCAGAGGCTCTTCCAAGGTTGCTTTTCTCAAGTGATGTCTTCTCAGAGGGAGCCCAGGGCTAGCTTCCCCTCCATGCTCTCCATCCCCCCACCCCTCAATACTACTTATGAAGGCTGGACAGTTCTTCATCCCCCTCAGGAATTAAGCTGCACGCTAAGGACAGGCTAGGGCTTCCTCGCACAGCCAGAGCTGCCACCGTCCGGCCCCTTGCTACAGAAGGCCTGGGCAGTGTGCTGCAAGCTGCACAGGATAAGGCTAAAGGGTGGGCTCTGGAGTCTGCCACACCTGGATTCAAGTCCAAGTTCTGCCACTTATTAGTTGTTGACTTCAGGCAAGTTATGTAAACTTCCTACAGCCTCAGTTTCCCCACCTGTAAAAATGAGGATGAAAACCAAAGAACCTCCCAAAGGACCCTTGCAAGGATTAAATGAGATGATGCCCATAGAGCACTTGGCACATAGTGAGCATTCAATAAACATTAGCTGTTGATATTATTACTAAGTAGGACTATAAAGTCGTGCCCATAAAATCACCTTTATCATTTTATTACACTTTCTGTTAAATTGGCTAAAGGGTTTCTGCTTCCTTTAAGTCTAATCTTAAAGGTACTTTGTCTTTCATCCTTTTAAGAAAAAAAAAAAGTGCCTCTAAGATGGGTCTGGGAGGAAAGTGAAAGCTTCTGGCTAAGTTATAGGAGATGACACTGTAAAATAATGATAGAGAAATGAGAATCACATTTAAATACAAGAAAATGAATTGCGTGAAAGGGAATAACACTTGTTCCATGAAGCTCCCCTGGGGAGATATAGAAGTAACGGATAAAAACTACAGGGAGGAAGACTGGGCCGTAACACTGGAAAGACCTTTGCAATGACTCTGGCTATCCAAAAATGGAGATAAGTTATTTCCAGAGGTAGCTGGCACCCTATTTCTAGAATTCAAGGCCTCTCATTGTTTCGCTCTAAACTACCTTTCTAGTTTGTTTGATATTGTCATACATCCAGCTACGCATTCTCCTACCTAGAACATCCTTTTCTCCATCTAATTTCTACCCGTACCTCAAGGCTCACCTGACCTAGTTGGCCACCCTCTAACAAGTCCTTAGTATCTAAACCCCTCATCTGGCAGCACAATGTAGTAGCCAAGAGCGTAGGCCCTGGAGTTAGGCTGCGTATGCCCAAACCCCAGCTTTGCTACTTATGAGCTATGTAACCTTGGGCTAGTCACTTTAACCTCTCTGGGCCTCAGCAATCCATAGGCAAAATCGTACCTACCTCCTAAGATTGTTGTGAATTAAATGAGATAATGCATTAAAAAGTGCTTAGTTAGTGCAGTGCATGATACATACTAAAGGCTCAGTAAATAATAGCTATTGTTGGTTTTTTTAATATAATTACTATCATTATTATTAAAACTTTCTTTGAGGCATTTTAGCCTCTTTAATTAGAATGTAAGTTTTTATGAAAAAGAGATCATGTTTTTCATTTTTCTGCGTTCCCCAGAGTCTCCAGCATGGTATCTGGCAAATCCTAGGCTCTCAAATCTATTTACTTGAATGACCAAGTCATTTCCTTCGTCATCAAGACCAAACACTTTCTTAGAAAATGGTTCTATAGTGGGCTCTGTGAGCATAGATTATTTCTCTGACTTGGCCACTGCAGTCTGGTTCCATCTGACTGGGCCACATTAGTTACTCCCATCAGTCTGGCTCTGCCTCAGAGACAACCAGCGTTCCTGAAGCACTCTTGGGTCTCTGGAGTTTGCTGACTGCTTTCCTGTACTACATGACGGGAGTGGACTACAACTGGAGTATTTGTTCAAGTATTTACTACTAGGTAAACATGATGATTGTTTCTCTGCCTCCCTATTATAGGCAGTGACGACAGCATACTACTCAACAATAGGGAAAATGACTAGAGATAAACTCACTGTATATTTATGCAAATAACACGTGCCTTCTACGTTTTGATTGCCAACCGCACCCTCCCCCAGCAAGGTATTTTCATAAGCGCACTATGCTAATTTTTTTTTTTTACAGCAACATGTAAAAAAAATTGGCATAGCAGAGCTTATGAAAATACCTCGCAGGGGGAGGGTGCAGTTGGCAAACAAATGTAGAAGGTGCGAATTATTTGCGTAAAAATATGGTACATGTTTCGGGGCAGGTATGATAACCATTTCCTTTTCTGAAATGAAAGTCCCTGATCATGTCATCTTTGTAAATACACTTCACCACACTTACTATGTATACATTTATACATAATACTTACATTTTGTTCTTGGTTTTGCGGTGAACTGGTGGCACCATTTAATAACCACTGTAGGTTCTGTTCTCCCATCATTAGGCTGGACTGCAAAATAGCTGTGTTGGGAGTTGGGGTGATGGTTATAGTGGGATTATTAGTTAGGACAGAGTTGGCACCCAGGGGCAGAGTCTGGACCATGGTTGGCAGGGGCTCAGTAGTACTTTGTGGTGGTGGGGGTGCTGCCACAGCTGTTGCCGCCACCGCCGCTGCTGATGTAGAAGCCCCAGCAACAACAGAAAGTCCTGGTACGATGGGCTGCGGTGTATGGGGGTGTGGAAGAAACTCTTGATGATTAGCAGCAAACTGTGTGCTGTGGGGAACAGGCACTTCTGGAGGTTGTAACACAGCAGGGGGGGTGCCAAATGCAGCTTGCTGGGAACCAGTTCCTAGGGAGGAAGCAGGCGGAGGAGCAGATGGCACTGAGGCTGGTAGTAGAGGCTGGGGTGGCTCGGAGATGCCAGGCTGCAGTACAAGTGGAAGAGATAAAGATGCTGAATTTCCTGTGGATGGTGGAACATCACTGACTGACTCTGGATCACCATTAAAACTTTCGATCAAGGCAGCTGGCAAGAAAAAGAAATAGAAGTATATATACATGTCCCAAGCCTTATATGAGCCACAAAAACACAGTCATTATGGGCTACATAAAAGACATCTGAAGTCCCTTAGGGCCAATTTCTTCTTTTCTAGCAGGCTCTCTTTCTGCTTTTCGTTTAATGACACCTCTGGTCAAAGCACCAAGCTTTACCATCAATTTCATTTTCTAAATGCGAAGACCAAGTCTAGGTCTAATCATAGAAAAAAGCCCAAGGCTTTTCTGGAAAAGAGACTAGACATTCTTTTTTTTGGCATGACCAGTGAACAGACTTTCTGACCATTGTGAAGAAGCTATAGGAACAAATTTTCATTCAAATACAAAATGATTTATACATCTGAAGCTTGGTTTGTGGTTCCTTTCCACTCAGAACAGGGCACCACATCAGAAGAAGAAAGAGATTATAGCTTCTTCCATTTTTTAAAGCCAATAAGAGCATTAAAACACAGTGGCTTCTTGAAAAAGAGACTCTCTTCTTCAGGAGCTGAGGGAAGTAAAGCAAAAGATGTAATTGAACTGAAAGGCCTATACTTTCCTGACCCTTCACAGAAAGCCCACTTCATTTAAGCTAACTGAAAGAGTATTTCATTATGCCTGTCATTCAGTGTTTCAGCAAGTGTGAATTCCCCTTCCCAGGGCTGAGATTTGAGCAGGAAGAGAGGCTGTATAGCAAACCTGTCTGTTGAGGATCTTCCTGAATTGCTGTATCATCTGAATTCCGGAACATTGATTCAAAGATGACTGCTGGTGAAATTGTGCTGAGGTCCTGGCCCTGTGTCTGACAGAAAGAGACACAGATATGAGACTAGCCATCCTGAAGCAATTCTCTACCATATGAGAACATATTCAGGGCAGCAAACCTAGAATGATCTTTTGATAGGCCTCTTGTTTCTAACTTATCCTATTTCAAGATGACATATTTCCCTAAATCTCAGAAACAGAAGATTCTGTGTCCTTAAAGACTTTAAAACAAGGGTCAACTGACTATGACGTGCATGCAGGCAGAGGTATGTGCCTTTGTTCATGTACTGGCTGTGGCTGTGTCTGCACTATAATGCAGAGGTAAGGAGCTGTGACAGAGACCATATGGTCCACAAAGGCTAAGTATTTATAATTTAGCCCGATCTCTGCTCTAAAAGACGAAATCCTACATATAGGAGTTATTTTGTTTTTATAGAAATGGGATTGTATAATATTCATGAAACTACAACTTGCTTTTCTCATATAATAATATACTGTGAACAGTTTTCAAAGTCATTGCATAATATCTGATATTCTAATATGTACATACGGTGATAAATCAAACAATATAAAAAAGCTTACAATGACAAACAATAGTGATATACTTAATAAAAGGTCAGAGACACTGCAAAAAAGGATAAAATATGGAAAAACAAAAAACAAAAGCAATGCCCTGAGGGCCTGGTTCCTGATAGGCACTAAATAAAATGACTTCTACTCTACCCTTTAGCTAAGTGGAGGGGGGTAAAATTCTTTTATCCCCAGTCCAGCTCCACCTCCACATTTTGTAGGGCACGTATGACAAAGGCAACCACCTAGTAGAGGTCAGGCAAGTAGTATAAATAAGTGAAGCAGCTGGGGGAGGCCAGGGAAGGGAAGGACTGTAGCAAACTGGAGAGCACGCACCCTTCAAATCTAAAGGGCTTCAGCTAAATGCTGCCATGTGAATATGCAGGCCTGCTACTAGCAAACCACAAAAAAAGGTTCAGAAATTTGGATTTTTATGTGAGAGCTACTGATATGTTAGTAGAAGCAAACAATTAAAAAGTATTTAAAAGCAATGTGTAGACCAAACAAAACTTGTCTTCAGGCTAGATTTTGCCCTAGTGCAACTTGTATTTTAAGGTCATTTCACAACAAATTCTGCCTCTGGGGGAGTACTCAGGAGGAGTACTCTGAGGCTCGGCAGAAGTGAGGTGAACAAGACTGTCCACCAATGTAGAGGTCCTCAGGTATGAAACTGCCCATCTGAGCCAAGAGGAGCCGATTGTTCTACCAAGATTCCATCATCTGGAAGAATGAGGGGAAGTTTAGTGAATCTGACTACCAGGTATGATAGAAGCTGAAGGCAGAAACCTATGCAGGATTCCAGCCAGCTTCCAGTCCAGAAGTAGTTAAGAATCATAGGCCAAGACGGTGGCTTTCAAACTTTTCACTGTGACACAAAGTAAGAAACACATTTTATATATTACATATTCATATGTATAACTGAAACAAAACTGTGCAACAAAGCTTACCTTTACTATGTGCCATGTTCTCTGATCTTTTCTATTCTAATGTCTTTAAAATGCTGATTGTAAACTACTATTTTATAACCCAACGAAGAAGTGCAACCCAGTTTGAAAAAATAGTGGGCTAGCAAGTATCGCTAAGCTGTAAACTTTGCAGTTTCCTCATGATTATCATTTTTGTTCTACCTATTGACAAATTAAAAAGGAATGGGATATAAATAGCAAAAGATAATAATAAATAAATGGGACCTCATAAAAATTAAAAACTTTTGTTCATCAAAAGACTTTACAAAAAAAGTGAAAAGACAAGCTACCGACTGGGAGAATATCTTTAGAAACCATATATCTGACAAGAATCTAATAACCAGTATATAAATAAAACTTTGAAAACTTAACAACAAAAAAACAAGTAAACCAATTATAAAATAGGCAAAGGACTTGAACAGACATTTCGCCAAAGAGGACATTCAAACGGTCACCAGACACATGAAAAGATGCTCAGTGTAATTAGCCATCAGATAGATGCAAATCAAAACCACAATGAGCTACCATTTCATTCCCACTAGGATGGCTAAGATAGAAAAAATAGGAAATCACAAATGTTGACAAGGATGTGGGGAAACTGGAACCCTTATCCACTGCTGGTGGGAATGCAAAATGGTACAGCCATTGTAGAAAACAGTATGCGGCTCCTCAAAAAGCTACAAATAAAGATCTCAAATTAACAGCCTAACTCAACAACTCCAGGAACTAGAAAGAGAAGAGCAAACTAAGCCTAAACTTACCCAGAAGAAAGGAAATAACAAAGACCAGAGCAGAAGTAAATAAAATCGCAGAAAAACAATAGAGACAATCAATAAAACCAGAAGTTGGTTCTTTGAAAAGATCAATAACCTCTAGCTAGACTGACAAAGAAAAGATGCAAATAACCAAAATAAAAAACAAAAGAGGAAACACAAAATGACCCAACAGAACAAAGAGAATTATGACAGAATATTATGAACAACTATATGGCAGCAAACTGAATTACCTAGATGTAATGGACAAATTCTTATAAGCACACAACCTAACCAAACTGACTCAAGAGAAAAAGAAAGTTGCAACAGGCCCATAAAATGTGAAGAGATCAAATCAGTGATCGAAAACCTCCGAACAACAACAACAACAAAGTCCTGGACCAGATGGCTTCACTGGGTAATTCTACCAAACATTTAGAGAAGAACTGACACCAATACTGTTTAAACTCTCCCAAAAGATAGAGAAGGAAGGAATATTCCCTAATTCATTCTCTGAAGCAAACATAACCCTGATATCCAAACCAGACGAAGATACAAGAAAAGAAAACTACAGGCCAATATCTCTTATAAAAATAGATGTAAAAATCTTCAACAAAATACTAGTGAACAGAATCCAATAGCGAGTCATATGCCATTACCAACTGGGACTTATTCCAGGAACGCAGGGATGTTTTAACATTGGAAAATCAATCAATGCTAAGGGGGAAGCATTGTTTGATTGGAGTACAGTGGGACAGAATTTGCCCACAAACATTTTTGAGCTCTCAGGTTTCTTGGGAGGGAGGGTACTCTCCCCACTAAAAACATTTACTGCCCTCCAGTGGGGGCTTGTGTAATGGTGAGAAATGAAAGAAAAGTTCTTTGGCGAATATTCACTAAGGTAGGAGGCTTCAGTATGAGGCAGTGAATCCAGGGACAGTGATTGGGTCAAAGTTTTGTCTCTTGGCTTTTGTATAGGTAGATAAGCACGATAAGCATATTTATAGCCTCCTGTGTGATAGCTAGGGAGCCCTGGTGGCTTGGGTGTGTGTGTGGTATTTGGAAAACCAATGTAACCAAATGAATTTTGGCACGTTTGAAAAGTTTTGTTTTTTGGGGGACATATGTTCCCCCAAAATTATGTATCAAAACATAAATTTAGAAAAACTCCTTGATTCAGCATGCCTTCCATAACTGAAAACACATAGTATCAAAAAAAAAATTTAAAGGAGAAAGTAATAGGGTCTTGAAAGGGCTAAAGGTTTTGCTATGCTGATACCTCATGGGGCTCAGAATAAGGGGATAACATTCTCAGTTAAATTTTATCAGACACCAGAAAGGGTGAAGTTGAGATGACTTTTGGAGAACCTGACCACATCAGACGGATACCTGCAGCAGACCTCAACGGCTGGTACCTGAGTAACTTCACCCTGAGGACTCTTTGCCCTACTAAAGGACTAATTGTTAATGACTGTTTTGGACTGATAAAATGATTGGGAGGGGGAAGTAATCCTCCAAGTATGAAAGAACCATGGCTAGAAAAGCCAGGGGGTGGCCTGTGGTGCAATGGATCGCTTTTATATGGCCTTTCTAGCCATGGTCTTGTAACTCCCACCAAATGACTGGGTGGGACTATGCAAATATGGTGCTTGTGGCCCACCAAGGGGATCAGACAGCTTACTAATAATGCAAATAAGGTACATGGCACCCTTGTGGGGGTGGGGCCATGTAAATAAGGTCTATGGAACCTTAAGGAGGGGATTTGTCAGTTTTGCCATCATGCTAGGCTTAAAATAAGCCATCCCAGAGGTAGATGGGGGGGCTCACTACCACCAAGAATAAGAGACGGGAGTGGAGCGTGTCCTTTGGACCCAGAGTTCCCGTGCTGAGAACCTCTTACACACAGGAGACTTCCTGGCAGAGTAGGGTGCCCCCGGGCACTTACTGGTGAAGTTAAAAAGCTTTGTAATACTTGCCCGAGCAGGGCAAGGGCTGAGCCAGGGGGCTGAGGGACTGAAAGCCAGGGAGAGGCTTGCCTGGAGGCACGGCTGAGAAGAGGTTGTCCTGATCAAAGAACTGTATCCTGAGTTGTTCCTGATCCTGAATTATAACCAGTTACTTCCCTAATAAACCTCGTAACTATGAATATAATCTGTGAGTTCTGGGTGGCCACTGCAACAAATTATTGAACCCAGCAGAAAAGTAGAGTGCCATGGGATGGACGGCTGTGTGTCAGAAGTGGGAAAAAGGTTGGCAGGTGAGAGTGTGCCTGACCTCCACCTCACAGCAATCAGCTTTGGGCTGTTGAAGCTGATAATGATTCTCTCTCCTTCCCCTTATGAAGTTAGAAGAGGAAGTCAGATGCCTCTGCCGTGCCATTTTTACAAACGTAATACACCACATCAATATAACAAAGGAAAAGAACCACATGATCATTTCTATGGATGCAGAAAAAAATTTTTATAAAATCCAACACCCTTTCTTGATAAAAACCCTAAAGAAGATTGGAATAGAAGGGAAATTCCTCAATATGATTCAGGGCATGTATGAAAAACCAAGAGCCAACATTATATTTAACAGAGAAAGACTGAGAGCTTTCCTCTTGAAATCGTGAACAAGGCAAGTGTGCCCACTCTCACCACTTCTATTCAATATTATATTAGAAGTCCTTGCCAGAGCAATAAAACAAGAAAAAGAAATAAAAGATATTCATATTGGAAAAGAAAAAGTAAAATTATCTCTCTTCGTGG